AGCATCTAATTCGAACAGCGGTCAGTATAACGAACCTAAGCTATGCTTAGTACAAAACTATTATATTCCTGGCTGGCATCATATCCTACTAAAATTATAAATGCGAATGTTTAGATGGATGAATGGACAGATGTTTGTTAGACTTTTCCGCCTAAACAGCGAACATAGTCTGGAAGGTTACTAAGTTGTTTTTTTTTCTGCGAAAGTTAGTAAAGCCTAAATTAAACTAAAATACTTATTAAGCTGATAAAACAAAAATAAACAGAAAGTACGACGTATGTGTACAAAAAGTACTTACCCTCTTCGTTTCCATACAGTAAATTTTGCTAACATGAGGGGATAGCTTTTATCAACCGGTTTTTCCTTACAAATTGACTTTAAATGAGTAATCAATGACTCAAGTTACACATTCAGTTGTAATGGACATTATATGTGAACGAAGACGGTATAGCATAGGTATACACAGTCAAGGACATTTATTTACTACATGACATTTGACGCTTTTACTGCAAATAAATCGAAAAGTTCACTTAACAAATGGTAAGCGAATTTAATTCTTTGACTGTACACGTGTGAATCAAAACAACCTAGCCTTTAATATGGTGTATAGGGCCTATAATTACACTGCGGCACGGAGATTGGGCGTATTAGGATTTACCGAGGGGCGTTGCTACACGCCCCGGGGTGAAATTGCTTCATAAACTATGAATAACGTTCATGCATCACAATAAATTATTAACCTTAATCTTCGTATTCAATATTTTTAATTTAATTTTTATTGAATTAGTTCAACTGCTGGAAGCTAAACAATAGAAAAAAATAGATAGGACTATAAATCAAAATTAGTATGTTTAAAGTTTTTTTTACTTCTTTGTTGCCTAACATCTCAGCAGTTACAGCATTTTGTTGAATAATTCACAAAATAGAAAATATATAAAAAGACTTATTCTAAAGGAAACACATTCGTGGCAAAAGGTAGCCAGCTCAGCGTATGCAGGACGGACTAAGCCGTTCCTGCGCTGATTTTCAGCTGGCTCCTTCGCACTCAAGTAACATATATCTTAATCATTAGGGTAACCGGCCGTACTAATTACATATCTATACAGAAATAAAAAATAAAATAAAAAATACACTTTTAAAAAGAAAAAAAAAAGACACCGTAAGTTGCTGCCAACATCAAGAAAGAAAGATGATGTCATGTCATTTTGACATTTGATAAATATAAACAATAAAATAAAAATTTCATAATTACATGCGGATGAAGCCCCACGGGAATAGCTAGTATAAATATAAATAGATAACGATTAAGTTAAATATCTAATCTGATAAGAATTTGACAACTATTTTAATAATCAATTTTGCACAACACACTGTCAAACAACTAATGTTTTTTTTTTGCTTATCTGTAACTGCTCTTCTTAACTTAATTTATTTTATTCAATACATCAAAATATACAAAAACAATCCATCTAAAGTTTAATCTCTATAATTGTATTAACCTACATCCTCTATTCAAGTCGTATTGACTCCGTACATCAAAGCGATTCATTATTAACAGATTTTATATATATGTATAAAACAAATACACATGCCTAGCCTCTGTAGGGACTAGGGCATAATTTAGTTAAAAAAGACAGGTAAAAACAAGGTAAAATCTATCCTAATATTATAAATAGGAAAGGTTCGTAAATTTTTTACTTTTGTATGTATAACTCAAAGACTACTGAACCGATTTCAAAAATGATTTCACGATTAAAAAGCTGCGTTATCAGTGGGTAAGATAGGCACCTTTTTTATTATTGTTTTAAATTAACGCGGCCGAAGTCGCCAGTAACAGCTAATGTTGGATAAGCACGGCTTAAAATTGATGTCACATCATATAAATAGTGAAAGAGGCGAAAGGGACTGTTAAATCATAAAATGTATCATATGGAAAATGAAACGGAACACCAGTGATCACCTAAATAACACGTATGTAAATGCAAGTGTGGGAAGTGGCGTTT